ATCAAAGCAATTGCACTTGCGGTTTTTAACAAGAAGTCGAAAATATCAGTTTTTACCAAAAATGACAAAAATATTCACCAAAATTAGAGAATTGAAGATATCATCACGAAATGAACAAATCTGAGAGAGGTCCACATGTAGTACCTATATATGTAGTATCAAAGCAATTGCACTTGCGGTTTTTAACAAGAAGTCGAAAATATCAGTTTTTACCAAAAATGACAAAAATAATCACCAAAATTAAAGAATTAAAGATATCATTACAAAATTAACAAATCTGAGAGAGGTCCACATGTAGTACCTATAGATGTAATATCAAAGCAATTGCACTTGCGGTTTTTAACAAGAAGTCGAAAATATCAGTTTTTACCAAAAATGACAAAAATATTCACCAAAATTAGAGAATTAAAGATATCAACATGAAATGAACAAACCTAAGAGAGGTCTACCCAAGGTACATATACACCAAGTATCAAAGCATTTAGGCATGTAGTTTTCAAGAAGAAGTCGAAAAAGTAAAACATTGACACGGACGACGAACGACGGACGACGACGACGGACAATCACTCATATGACAAAGTCGACAGCGGAGCTAACAAACAATATATTATGTGTTCATATTTTAATAACTTAATCTACATATAGTTATGCCAAGTGATATCAACTTACTACAGTAGACCAAAACAGAAACATGAAAACAGTATTTAGACAGCTACAAGTGTGGGATCTAGGATGTCTTAAGATTATCCTCAATAGGGAGCTGTGAGCTGCCCTAGTTTCATTGTTATTTTCAAGAATATGGCAGCCTTTAGCTGACTATCCAAAACCATGTATCAGAAAGTTGATAACCAATCTAATCTGTCATTATTAATTATTGAAATATCATATTTGCTCTAATAGAAGCCAATCTCCAATTGAATCACACATAAACCAAAAATTATGTTTATTCACTGGATCATGAAAATATGACTTTTTCATATAATTCATTGCTTGCATCAAAATAAAACCATATTCTGAGAATGGGTCTACATTTTTATTGAAATTGTCTGAAAATGGGTATCCTCTTGTAATTTTAAGCTATCACATACTTGCATTGTGGTATCCCATGGTGCAACTCATTGAACAATAGAGGGATTATCTTCCTGGCGTTGAACCATTTTTACCGAAGCTTTAAGCTCCCAAGATGATGTTCATGTAAAACCGTATTTGCTCTATTAGTAGCACATACAGTTGTGTCAATGACTGCTGTATTCGATGTTCAAAATACCAGGCAAGTCAAAAACTAAATGATTCTGCACCTCATTTTTCAAATACATTATTTTCATACTCCTGAATTTTTTAATTTACATTTTCCCCAGTTCCACATTATGTATTCACACAATTTAATGTTTTCTCACCATCCATTGATAGGACACATGGCAAGAAATTTGATGTCAACACCAGTATCATAATAAGACTCCTTCCCTCCCTCTGTAGCAACCAAATTTCCCCAGTTGACAAGAAGATATGTAAAGTCAACAAAGACACACCACATGATAATTAATAATATAATAATCTGTTTATTTTCATAGAATAAACAACAACAATATGAGGTAGAATCTGGTTTTCAAACAAAAAAGTTAAAGTTCACAAGAAATGAAATTGATATCAGAAAGTTCAATAAAATTCAATCACACATAGAGGGCACTAATTTCCTGGCACCTGGCACACAATGACTACAAATAACGTCAAAAAAAAACACAATCTTTTTTTGCAGCCATCATGTTCTACCTCCATTGGGTCAAACTTTCAGATGATAAGTACATAACAAGATCAACTTATAAAAAACGTTTTGTAACGATGCATGTTCCTCTTTCTTTGAAACCAGGAAAAAAAGTGCCCTCAAGTCACAAATCAGTCAGGAATGCAACGAGAGAAAAAAATAAATTGTTTTCATTAAAACCTGAGAAATAAAATAACAGGCAAGAAGTGGCATGCTCAATATTGCCCAGCAAAAAACAAAACAAGTGTTAGAGTGCTATCAGGGGTTTACTTAGAAGGCTGCTACGGGGCTAATTAGCCTTCTACATTCGCTTATGACTCAGTATAGTCATCCACTTAATACTGTGTGTGGAAGAATACGTTATAGCAACCTACATTTTTAATTGAGTCTTTTGATTAAAATTTAAGAAGAAAACCCTGAGGAAAACAAATATGTATTTTGGTCAAATAACTCATAATATTATTAAGTGTGACGTACATGGTATTCACCTGAGACAGACAACTAACAGATTAATTAGTTTTGATATCCCAATAGTGCAAGTTTCTTTGCAACAAACACCTGGTGGTCACTATAACAAAGCTTTGGTTGACAATTTTCGCTAAAGAGACATGTTTTACAGTATGTTTAAAGTGGCGCTCTTTGCCATTTAAATCAAAATAGTAAATTATAAAGACCTGATAAAATGCATAACATTAGAAATGTTAGTATGTCAGTTACATGGTGGATGGAAACTAGCTAGATAAGATAAAATTATGTGCAGTGGTCGTAAAAAAAGAAAAATATATATAAAATCTCAAAAATACAATTTTTAATATTAATATGAACAATACAAAATATTTTTCTTATAAACAGAACAAAACTACATTGAAAAAATAGACAAATGTAAACAAATTGAGATTTAAGTACATGAACATTATTCCATTCTGGAATGAAACATTAATCTAATACATGAATGAGTGTAGATTGGCTGTATAATTGTAATCCACATTAACGGTGAAGAATAAACACAATTGATGTCTCGCAATATAATTCCAGTATACTGACTTATACAGATACTCCTATTACTGTAAAGTCTGTATTAGAAGCTGTGGCTTCTATTAAAATGTTACAATGCAACAGAGGGGATGCAGCTTCCATTAGATCATCTACACATATGGAAAATTCTGAATGTTTGGTACTCAATTGCTCAAAAAGAATGGGTGCGACTTATATTAGGGATGCGGCTTCTAATACAGATTTTACGATAACTGATAGAAAAAACTTATTTCTAAGGATGCAATAAGGACATTATTATTGTTCTATACGGTTCATTTGACATACTCAATTTTCACAGTTTGATGAGTTCGGATAATGCGCAGGGCCAAATTTTTTTGAAATTAATCACAACATTGCATTTCTAAAGAAATGTCAACTGCTACAAAATTCTGCAATTTCCTCGACCACAACAAAAATTATCTCATGAAATTAAAGCAGAAAACAATATATGTAAATTATGTTAGTTTCCATGACTACCAGTATGTTGCTAGGTAGCACAAGAACCAATAGTCTTGTTCTGCCAGATGCACTACTACGACTACTACAGAACAGTTTCTGCTAGCATGATATTTAAAGGGCGGTGGTCATCGCGCCGTGTCCTGTTTGATATGGGATTCATAGTGATGTAACACATGTAAAATAAATTGTTTGTTTTCAGAAAATCAATACACACGCTACGCGACGACCACCGTTCTTTAACTTATTTAAGGTACAAATTATTTTTGTAGTCTAAACCAACATACAACATGGTAATTTCTTGAGGTACAAATTCAATGAGAATTTAAAAATTATTTTCCCCTAAAAATGCAAGCAGTTGTCATGACAATTCAAATAAAGTTAAACATTGCAAATATAAACATATTGGAAATCGTTGCAGTTAATAGGACTATATACCCATAACAGTTCCAGGATGTGTGACCTTTAGGAGGTCATGCATAATTTTATGCCTTAAATAAAATCCTCCTAACACCACATATCTGTATGTCAAAGAGTACACCACATTTAGCATCTAGGTTAGAATCAACTTGAATTCATATGCCCTAATTGGCAAATTAGACATTATGTTGACACCCAAATAAGGTAATTATAATAGGAACGATGGTGTTACCACTGTACAATCATTTTCTGCATTCTGGACAGCCCCCACCTATTAATTGGAAGATGTCCGTCTAGTAGTTAATGATTTACCATGAATCAAACTGGTGAGGGTTGATATAAACTATCAGCATGTTGCTGATAAAGATGAAGCAAACACTACTATTGCAGTGAAGTTTTGCAGAATAAAACTAAATACTGTAAAATATTTTATTTTCGCTTGGAATTAATTTTCGCTGAAGGAATGATTCAGTGAAAATAAAATCCAGCGAATACATTTTTTTCCCTATATTTTACATTCAATTTGCCAAAAATCATTGAAAATAAATTCCATACAAAACACCCGAAAAGTCTTTTCAGCGAAAATTAATTCCAGCTAAAATAAAGTATTTTACAGTATGGCTGGATTACCAGTACTGAGGAGCTGTAGTGCATATTGGTGGATTTAAATGGAGTTTTGTCAAACAAAGGTTGGTATTTTGTAAACCTTTGTAATTTTATATAGTTACCGTAATGTCATTCACAAGGAAAATAACATTTTGCCAAAGTCACGTAGATTCAGTGTCTTGATAAGGCACCCAGGGAAATTTTTACTGCTACCAAATTGAACCACAACATTCAGGAAAAAATTATTCTATCATGAAATTATAAAGGCAAGTACACAGATATGAAATATCATATGGGGAAATGAATTAGTATTCATTCAAATTTAATTATTTTTTAAATGAAAACCTAGTGAAAAATTCAGCATTAAAGGGTAATACCAATCTGATCCATGTTAAGTACATGTATAACTATTTTTTTATTCCTTATTGCAAAAAAATGAATAATATTATTATATTATACATATGATATTAATAATTTACATTATTATATCTCTTTTTTTGCAATATTTAAAATATTTTTGAATTTCAATGAACCGCTTACCTCTTGATGAATCTGCAAGTGCCAAAGTTGACACTTGCCACCTTTCACAAAGCCAACATAATTTGTTTTTCATATTTTTGCTAAAATTTGGATCAAGAATTGTATGTAGCCATTTTGATCAAACATAGAAATATATAAAAAATAAACAAAACGTTGCATCTAAAATGCTGGCAGGAATTTTTCTGGAGCTCAAAGTGATCAGGGAGGGTCACAAAGCAGCAATTAAAATCAAACCAAGTCAGTTTTCAGAATAAAAACTATCACACTCGTACACTGTAGTAAAATTAATATGCATTATCTTATAAAATAGGTTTAATGAAACCAAACAATCATGTTTACTCAGACTATGCCATCAAACATATATCCCAATTTAACACTAAAGCTACTTATTTATAAGTAAAACAATATTTAAATCAAAATAGTTGAAAAAATATTATATAGTTAATAATGATCGAAAACATGATACCAATCATATTTTGATCAATAAAAAAACATATTTGGTAAAAAGCTGCAATATTATGTCTAACACTGATAAATTGTATCAGTTAGAACAAATCAGATCAAAGTAACAGTACTACTGGTGAACCTAACTCAGTATTTGTATTTTTTGAAAAGTTAGCTATGGGGAATAAACTTGTCCACATGATGTTATTTTATTTATAATAACTGGAGTGAACAAATCAGTTAAAATAGACATGCATGGTCTGCAGAAGCAACTATAAGAATATGTTGCCAGTCAAAAAAGACAAAGTATCTTGTATTTTAATATGCAGCAACACAGTTGTCAATGTGCCATGGTTGTCACCTTTTAATCACCATACATAAAAGTATTACATGTTACGTAACAAGACGAGATGTTCCACAGGTAATATGAATGGGGATGTTTGAAATGAAATAGATGACAGACCTCTATACTACGCTATGTTGAGGTATATTTTTATCTGGTCACTTACATTAATACAATGTTATTGAACCCCTTGTGTAATAATAACACAAAACTGATACTATGTAAGTCATAACAGTTTTGAATTTAAGGCACTTGAAGAGATATTTGTGATGAATGCTAATGTGATTGTCAAAAGCTGTTGTGACGTCTTAATGCATATTACTGCCACCTGACTCTCACAGAATAATGTTATAAAAACCAGAACAATATCTGGTTAGAGCCAGTAAATTATCCTGTTAAAGCAAGTATGTACCAGTACATTAACTGACTACATCCAGTATGTGCAGATACAAGATCTGGTTAGAACCAGTATGTACAAATACAAGATCTGGTTAGAAGCAGTATGTACAAATACAAGATCTGGTTAGAACCAGTATGTACAAATACAAGATCTGGTTAGAACCAGTATGTACCAGTACTAGGTTGTTTGGAAAATGTTAGTCACCTTGCCCTATATATAAACTCCGATATAATAGGAATTTTATATAATATAGTATAATATCAATAATGGTAAAAAGTTTTTTCATGTTGCTGAAAAAATTATATACATAAAGCTTTTTTTTTAAAATATTTGGTCTTGAATGTCATGGTATCAACAACAACAAGTGTACAATAATCACAAACAGGAAGTTAAAATCAGTAAAATATTAAATATTACTGCTGGATGGAAAATATTTAAAAGGATTGCACAAAAGGCACTTTTTGATAAAAATGATAAAATTGTTAATATGACATGTTACTAGGTCCTGGTAAAACAATGCTACCAGACATGTGGTTGTAAGGCATGTATGGATTGGTTGGATATGTTGTTGGAGCGCAAGCTATGTTACCTAAGCTGCCATTAGTTGTTGAGCTCACTGGTTCCACCTCACATGGTGATCTGACAGATGCGACATTTGACCTTTCATATATAAATCTTCCCTGCCAGTGTTTGTAACCTGAATCCTGATTGGGTGAGGCAATGTGAGGCACCATGGAAGATTGTTCCTGATTGGTTGGCTTTGCAGACTCATTTGGCGTTGACCTCATATTCACCCTTGTCAAATTCTTTTCTGCATCAGTGTTATTTACAAAATTATTCCAGTTGACTGGATTGCCGTGGTCTTCGGGTTTTGAAGCAGGATTGTCCTTGGTGACGGCTGTTAGCTGTTCTTTGCATTTGTAGCAGGTCTCGTTGTTAATATTCTCAGCACACAAGTAGGTCTTTTTACATGTCAAACACTTCAGTACTTTGGAACCTACAATAAGAAATGGAGAAACAAGGGTCAAACACATGAACAGTAGCATTTTTACACATTAAGTATGAGGTTGTAAGATCAAGTTATTTGATTATAGCATTCACGTAATACGTATTCAGATACATTGTAGAATACATTTTCACTGGAAGTGTGAATTTACAAAAATTTAATCTAGTGATATCACTATTCCCCCATTGTATATTAGTTATGGTAAATCAGTGAAAATGAATGTTCACTCAAGTTTTCAGCCATGTGAAAATAAAGTAAATGAAAATGAATGTTCACTCAAGTTTTCAGCCATGTGAAAATAAAGTAAATGAAAATGAATGTTCACTCAAGTTTTCAGCCATGTGAAAATAAAGTAAATGAAAATGAATGTTCACTCAAGTTTTCAGCCATGTGAAAATAAAGTAAAATCACACCGTCACAGTTGACAGAGTTTGGAAATAAGAACAATTATTTCTTTTAACTCTTTAAAATTTTTCATGGTAAATTTTTCGTACATTTTAAGTATTTTTGTGGTAATTAATATAGGACTTGCCCCAAATGAACAAAATATCCCTAGCTACAGTGCTTGTCTTGTGCTGTAAGCATGCACCCAGTGAACATGCATGTAAGTAAGGGCAGGACAAAAAAAGACAAAAAAAAGTCAATGTTAATCAACCCATACTGCCCCCCCCCCCCCCCACCAAGCACCTGCTAGATTGTATTTTGGATCTACCCACTGTTTTTTTTTGTTACTGTTTTCAAGTTTCTCTGTGTAGGAAAGTATATTTAAATTTTTTTTATTTTTGCTTTTGGGCAAAAAAGTTTGCTTGCTGCCTCAAGGATTTCACAAGAAATATCTTCTAAACAGGATTTCTTTTTTTGCTCTATTAGAAATGCACATAAACTCAAAATTGCGTATGCTGGATGATTAAAATATGAATTATTTTGAACATAGAAATATCTGTTATATATGTGTATACCCTACTAATGGAGCAAATATGACAGCTGTCTCCACCTTGCATTATATGCTTGCCTGGTACATGACATGCATATTAGCCACAGAAACCACACTTCAATAATAGAAATATACAACTATAAGCTATGTATCTCTGTATACTGTAAAACATGTCTTTTTCGCGAGCATGTCTTTTTCGCGAATTTAGCGAGAAAACTGATTCGCTATTTCAAGATGTCGCTGATGACTTTATTATCAATTCAAAATGGCCGCTAAACAAAGAAATCAACAATGACAAGAGAGATTCGCTAAATCAACATTTCGCTATTACGTCATTTTACTACAATTCACTAAAATTGCATGCCGCTTTTTTCAACATGTTTTACAGTAATCAAATTACACCTTGATGCGCTAACCTAATGTCAACCAAAATATGACCATGCATAATTACTTGTACACCTTTCAATGCACCCTGAAAATAGAATCCTGCAAGCACCAGAACCTTATTTTCATTAGTGGGGATTGCATGTCTATTTTTTCTTTCCCACAGGAAGCTTGTTTTGTTTCTGTGTGTTTCTTTCTTGGAGCTCATTCGTTTTCATTGTTCAGAGTTCTGGAGGCTACCCTCACCCTCCCAAATATAATGGTTCACTCCAAAAGAGAAACTGCTTTGGCAGAATCCAACTGTAGAATGTACACTCATAATGATCAGCTGTCGACGGCAATGAGACCAAATACTGCAGATTACTTTCACTTAGAATTGATTTAGAATTAATTTTAAAATGAATCAGCCAAGTACACATATACTTAAATGATTTTTCTGTGTCTGAAAAAAGATATTTTATGGATATACAAACATAATAATAGTATGTGTTCCAGAGTAAATTAAATTTTCCTTACCTTCATGTGTTTTCATATGAGCTTTCAAGTTACAGGGCAAGGCAAATCTTTTGCCACAAAGTGTACATTCGTACGGTCGTTCACCTGCAAAAGGAAAGTATTGTTAAAGGCGATAATAATGGAACAGGTTGTTTATTGTTGAATGATATGGCTGTGATTTGTTGAATAATGTATTTGCTGCATTACAAAGCAACTATCCAACAGAATTGCATACACACCAAAAATCTGTATACAAAATCATTAAAATTTGATTTATTTTGATCTTAAAAATGCCTCTGAAATTTAATGAAGTGCATGCGCTATACATGTCCTATACAATATGGACAAATTACATCGTTATTTACATCTAAAACAAGCATGGGGTAAAATGTTTTGCCCTGTATACTATCTATTTAATTTCATGAGACATTATATTTCATGAGTCAGTGATCATTTTTGTAGCAGGACCTAACTTGGCTAGACATGTGCATCATTATTCCATATTTTGAATTTGCATAATTCCTAATATGGTACAATGCAGATACAATGGTTGATATAGTACATCGTAACTTTTGGAAATACACTGATGAATTATATCAAGAATTTATAAGATAAAAGAATGCAGCTTTCATAATCATATATGGTGATATGCAATGAAGATCTTACAAGAAGCGTTTTGTGTTTGAAAGCGATGCCATTTCATGTTTATCATTCAAACCTGGTTCTAACCAATAGTGTGTCACAGAATGCAGTGGGTACTTGGAAATGTTTGATCGTACAAGCAGGAATGTGCGAAATTTATGGTGTTACGGTGACAGATGTATAATAATAAGTTTTAATAACAGAATAACTTACCAGTATGTAGCATCAAATGATTTCTTAGATTTGTTTGTTTACTGAAACCACGGTTACAGAGTCCACATTTAAATGGCCATGATCCGTTATGTACATACATATGGCATTTCAAATCACCAGGTGTTGGGAAGGACTTGGAACACAGCGTACATTTATGTGGCTTTTCCTACGGATAGAAAATAAATAAACTTAACTTTGGTTATCAGAAGAAAGGAACACAAGTGCTTTGATGACATAAATGGGTATAGGGTTTTCAGTATCTATAGTTTTTTCATCTAAGGTTGTACAGTGTTTATTTTTTTCATTTAAAAGACTTGCTAGATGCAATATTATGAAAGATTACACAACCAGACTTGTCTATTTGAATGACATTGCTTATACCATCTACCTTTTTTAAGCTTCACATAAATGTTTTGCTAATAGAATTTTTTCTGCCTCACAGCAGCTCAAACACAAAAAAAAATCTATTTTTTGAGAGTACTGAAAGTGTAAATTTCAGTTCCCAAAATATTCGAAGCTAATTGCTGTAGGGGAGTTAAAACTTGGGTTAGGTTAGTTTATAAAAATGTTCAGAGAACTCATTTTAACACCTCATAGATTGAGAGTGTATTACATAGTATGTTGTTTATTCAGTGTTATTTACTGTAGAAAATGTTGAAATGGCTGCATGCAATTTTAGCGGATTTGATGCTTGGCATGAATTAACAGAATCTTAATTTAGCTAAAGTGTCGACTATCACCCTGTGAGAATATACCTTCTGTTAAATTAGCTACATCTTGAATTAGCAAAATTACAGATTAGCTCAAATAACATGCTAGCTAAAAAGACATGTTTTACAGTACTTTCTTCACTTTATAGTGTTGTGCAGTTCATCATCAAATTTTGCATATATAATGTATACTACATGCATTGTATACATCGCATGGGACTCACATTTAGCATGAGCTTGCATGACAACTGCAGAACTTTAACGATTTAAAATGCACAGAAAAATGAATTTATTCCAGACTCTGCTAGTATGAACAAACATACAGTGGATCATATAAAAATAAGATAAATAAAATAAATATAAAATAAATAACATGGGATTATCTCCTTTGGGAATGAATTGTCTTGTCTTACCTTTTGATGTGTCATTTTATGATAGTAGAGATTGGAACTTGCAGTGAATTTTTTAGAGCATATTTTACACTGGTGTGGTTTCTCACCAGAATGAATCCTTTGGTGTGTATTTAAAGAACTGGACGTACTGAATGCTTTACCACACACATCACAACGATGAGGTCGTTCACCTTTAAAGGAGAAAATCAATTACTAAATTGTATGAGCCATACAAAAATATCTAACTACTAGTCTTGGTGACTGTAGAAATGTCAACATATTCTAAACTGTTATTTTAAATAAATTTAAAACATATAGAGGGCAGTAGTTTCAATTATTATCGATTCATCAAAAGAGTTGAGTATTGAACTCCTACATTCCATCTTTTGACTTTGAGGGCGCTGTTCAGCAACCTGAAAACCATTCGTTTTTCAGTTTTTGCTATGGAACCTAGAGGGCGCTATATCATTAAGTCGGTGTATTGAAACTTGAGTTTGAATATTTACATCTATACAAACAAATGTATACCTAAAAATTAAGAAACTTTGATAAGCTTACCAGTATGTGTTCTCATGTGTCGTTTTAACAATGATGGTCTGTCAAATACTTTATTACAGACTTCACAAGGTAACATAGATCTTTCTTTGTTTCTTCTCAACAAATGACCGCTTCTGTTATTTTTATCTATGATCTAAGTAAAAACGAGAATATAAAATATAATTTTAATATATCCCACTGTCATTGAAATGAATTTGCAATGGTTGATAACAGCTAACATAATGTATAAACATGATCAAATATACAGAATATTTATTTTCAACTACATAGGTTGTCCATGTTTGACTGTAAAATGACTAATTTTTAGCGCATTTTTCAGTCAGCGAAATAAGCAAAATTAAAACCCAGTGAATAATTAACCCCTTTACAGTACTTCATTTGAGAGCTGTTCAATGTTACACAATGTGTATTTTACTAAGTTCAACTGGTATAAGTTTTCGCTAGTTTTACACTGGTTTTGTCTGGCTTACTTACATGTTGTGTGTAGCGTTCCCTGCTATTATGGTACGATGTGTGTTTCCTGTCATCTTCAGGTGGTGGAGTGATCAAATTCAATGCAGTGGGTACATGTAACAGTGGTGGTGGTGAAAACTTCATTGGAGAAGTAGGAACACCATGGCAATAATCTATAATCAATCAATCAATCAATCAATCAATACAATATGAACTAGTTACATTCTTCTTTGCAAACCTGTGAGGTATATTCTCTGATATATAGACCATAAAATGTTCAGATTGTCGATGGGTAAAAAGATATTTACTGCAAATTATGAATTAAGCTCAAGGTATCTTGAATTTAGTTAGATTTGTAAACTGTAAACAACAGTCAGTCACATTTAGGTATGTCTCAGCACAGTCACTCTACTAGGAGTGACTGTGGTATCAAGGATAAGAATCGCCAGTATTCAAAAAATTAATTTTAATATTTCAGTTTTTTTTAGAAATTTTAAGTTTGGGTCTAGTGATGTGAATGTAAATTTAAAATTCATGGAAAATAATTTTTCATTAATTTGAAGAAATCATGATAAAATTTGACAAACCTGGTATAGAATGTGTAAGAGGCATGGGTGGTGATTGTACAGGTGGTGACACAGGACTGGTATCCTTCAATATTGAACTCATACTGTGATCTGTAGTTGAGAAGTACACTAATATCTCCGAGTTAGATGGGATTACTTTGGTTACATTGTATACTGGTTGTCCTGCAAAATAAAACAATCAATTTGTATTAATCTTTGTTGTATATCTTTAGAATAATTAAATGCTCTATTAGTGGTGCTTATAGTTAAAGGGCGACAGTCGTCGTGCCACGTCCTGTTCGATATGGAACTCATAGCGACTTATACAATGCGTGTAAAAGACATTGTTTATTTACATGACACGCGCTTTAAATGACATGTGACTCTGCTAGTTCTACATGCATACAGACATTCCTAGATCAAGTCACAGTCGCACATGCTTTTCATCGATACAAATATCTTAATGTGCAGTGTTGTCACGATGTGAGAATTGAGTCCTATGCGACAATAAGAACACACTAAAATGCAAAAGCTTATGGGTAGACACACTATGGCCGTCTGAACAGGTAATGACTCTCTTGCTTTCATATGACTGAACATATAAATAATATATATTTCAGGCCAGTAAGAATGTTAGTTCAAAAAGGACAACTCACAAAAATACTTTCTGGTTTCTGCCAAAATAATGTAATATTTTTAGCTATAAGATCTAGGTATGAATACCTAAAATATTATCCACAAACCAAAAACCTCTGTAAAAATGAAGTTAAGAGATATTATATTGCTTACCTTTAATTTTCATAGCCACCATGTTGGCATTTTCTATTTTATCCACATTTCTTAAATATCTTATCCAGTTACAGTGTCTTATACTGAATCCATTCAGCCAGGTTACATCTTCATAGCAACCGAATCCATTCCTTACCTGGACAAATACAGAATAAGTGTATGTTAGTAATTTTAAATCGTGGTTAAACCATGGTAACAACTAATATTAGGTTCAGCAGCTGAGAAATTTACTTAGCATCATTACAAGTCATCAACACATGGTATTTTAATCAATGGTGTTGAAATTTAGAACTTGCAGACTGCCCTCTAGAGTTTATAAATTTTGAACATAACTACTAGTATGGGAAAAACTTGTAAAATAAACTGGTAACAAAAAAATGGAAACTAGTATCACTGGTGTTTACTTTCATTTTAAGCTAGTGTATATTTTTAACATTTTAACCTTTTCACCACCAGACTTTCTCGCCCAAATTTTCCTGCACTTTTTTTTTTCATTTATTTTTCAATATTTCTGGATATGAAACCTAATTTTGGAACCAACAAAAACAATTAATTTTCACTCTACAATTTGGCTATTTTTGTCCCAAACTTCTGAAGAATATAGAAGAGTGTAAACAGGACTATTTTGTGATAAAACTTTGCTAGTAATAAATTTTCATGATTTTCGTGAGACAGTGAAGATCAAAGAATCAAAGAATGGTATAAAATTAACAAATCATGAAAAATCTTAGCAACATGAATTAAGCAATTCACTGTGATTGTATTTTATTTTATTCATAGATTCGTTCCCTTACCACATACTAATATTAGTTGCATTATACCAATTTTGTCTTCAAGTGAACCAGAACGAAACGTTGCCCTCAAGAGGCCATCTTGAGAAATTCAACACAAGCACCCAGACGCAATTGAGCAATTTAAAATTTGTTTGTAACAAGTTCTCACTCAGATTACTGAAAACAAGCCAAGTTCAGCAAGGTTTATGAGATAATGACTTTCAGAGTGTGTGTAATTCAATCTGCACCAATATCAGTTAATTTGTGATGTTTATTTTCACCCTGTGTATTGTTACATGTTGGGAGGTTTAAACAAACAAGTCTGTCACTTAACCCTACTGACCTGCAAGCTATGATAGATTGTACAGTGATCATCTTTGGATGAGAGTGCAATGTGCAAGCTTTTCTCACTCACTAGTGCATGTCGTTTCTCATTCCTAGTATCAGACTCAAAACTTACTCTCTTTCTAAAACCAATGAACCTGCTCAGAAAGTTCATAGGTCAAAAGGACAATTAGGGATTTAAATAGCTTGTACAAAAAAAAATCCTGAAAACATTCATCATCTATGTGGCAGTAGCGCATGATTCCATTTTAAAAAAGCAGTTTATTGAAACAATTTTGAATTCTAATTTCGTTTTTAATTTCAACATGCAGAGATTCAGGGTATGGTGATTCAATTTTCTGAGTGTGTATGAACTCATGAATGGTTTATTAGGGTGTTCAGTCAAATGTTTACCTGTATACATTTGATTGGTGATAAAATAGACACAGCATGTGACACAAACTCCCAAATGGTTGGCTGACATCTACAAACTCAGACAGATTCTAATAATTCATCCAATAAAACAAATTCATTTTAATTTTTCTTTTAATAATTGCTATCTGCAAAATAATGGCCTATGTATATATCTTTCTAAGGTCAAAGCTAAGTTCAGACTTTTGACCTATCAAGTTTGATTTTTTTTCGTATTGATTATTTCATGGTATCTCACACTTATAAACACATTTTGGGTTCACTTTCAAGTTCTTATCACTGACTTCAAATTAAACCCAAACTGATAATTAATGTTATTATTTAAAGTAAACACAGTAATGGATAGTTCATTTCCAAATGCAACTTTAATGTAAACATTTTTTTCAAGTTCATCTACCATTGAAGTAGAACTAATTAAACTTCAACAAGATTGAATTCAGGTATCCAAGATTTTTGTTTAAGGAGTTTCTTAGCATGGTTTACCTCTTGTATTATGCAGTAGCTTGAAGTATATGGTTTCTATGAATGTAAACAATATCCAGTACAAACAGCATGGGGGAGGTACAGAATTTTCTTGCCATATATGCTCTATTAGTGGTGCATGTTCTTAAATGATGAATTCGCTCTATTAGAATTGCATACATTTATTGTATGCAAAATTATGTATATGATTTCTATGAATGTAAACAATATCCAGTACAAACAGCATGGGGGAGGTACAGAATTTTCTTGCCATATACTGTAGAATACTTTATTTTCGCTTGGAATTTATTTTCGCTATTTTCGCTGAAAGAATGATTCCGTGAAAATAAAATCCAGCGAATATACTTTTTTTCCTATATTTCACATTAAACTCATCAAAAATCAGTAAAAATAAATTCCATACAAAATGCCCAAAAAGCCTTTTCATGAAAATTAATTCCAGCGAAAATAAAGTATTCCACAGTATGCTCTATTAGTGGTGCATGTTCTTAAATGATGAATTCGCTCTATTAGAATTGCATACATTTATTGTATGCAAAATTATGTTTTATTGTTACCTCTGTCAGGGCTCATTTCTGGAATGCCAGGTGGATTAGTCAGAAATTGTCAACACAAACAGAACTTCAAGTCCTGTATGTCACTTACTAACATACACACTACTAATACAGGATATTGCAAATGGTTGAAAAATATGTATCTGGTATGTGTATTTATTGAATGATTACTGGCTTTGACTCAAAGAGTAAAATAAAGATGTACTGATGGCAAAACAATGACTCATGTAAACTTTCATGATCAACTTCACACAACAAACAAATACATATGAATCATGAAAATCAATAACCAGTGAACACTTGGCTAGTCTGATAGATGACAGTCAGAGTGACAGTATTAGTGACGCTCAGACAGTGTCTGTCATACAATTTGGTCCAGAGCTATGTCCCAAATTCATCAAATCCAGAAAATGTCTAATAAATAACACAGCTTTTAAAACACAGCTGCAAATGCAAACTTTAAAACCATTCTTTTTACATCATGGTTTTTCATTCCTTGATAAATTGACATCAATTCAATACAGCTCTACAACATTTTGAAAGCAAATATTTATTCCAGGTGGCCAATCATTTACATCTAGACATTAGAATGTATAGAAACTCAGTGACATCAAGTTAATTGACTATGAACATGAATTTACCAGTCAGGAAGTACAGGTTCACACTTCTTTACAATTTAAACCAGCAATTAACCTTGACTTTGTGATTAATGGCCATTAAGGCAGGACACTGACTACTTAATTACGTTTTTTTTTTAAATAACTCAACAAGATCTAGATAGAGCCAGCTATATTGGTTTCATCTCACTCTTTCATTAAATTTTGACATTCTGCTTTCTTGACTTTCTTCATTAATAATATCGATGGACACTAACCTAACAATGATGATGTAAACACGTGTTCCCCTCACAGAGGAAATATGGTAACATACAATGTACCATTATTTGCCCTATAGTAGTACTAGCAACATAAAGGACAAATATATGTCTATGGGTCAAAATAAGTTATATTATTATATATCTGTCACGGTAACGCCATAAGTTACAGCTTGTCGTAATTTTGTGGTATTTTCATCCTACCATATGAGGAAATGCGAATTCCACACAAAAAAAGTTCGCTGATTCTGTTCTAAACTTTTTGGATTTCGGCATTCCCATGATGTATCCTTATAAGGAAAAGATTTATATTAATAAGGTTATTACGAGGATACCTCAAAAGTATGCACTCAGACAGTACGGCATTGCATTGACCTCTGCTGTGTGTCGGCCCGCTGTACTGTCTTCATGTATCCTTTGAGGTATCCTTGTAATAACCTTATATTATGATGATCCAGCATTACCTGGATGTATCTGAAACCTTTTGTTTACACTTTCTTTTTTTGATATAGTGATACCACATTTTAAAGAACTCACTGATTAAATTTTCTGCCCACCCCCATTTAGTTCAAAGCCTATGTCCTTATTTATTTTGGTAAGCAAAATTCTGCTGACTTGCAAATTTTTCTCACTAAAATTTTTCTCAACATTTACTGACCCCCTATTTCCCATGCAAGTTGCAACATTGTTGTAGTTGTAAACACTTGATTTATGAATGGGGTGACTATCAACAGCTGACATCCACCCTACTTTGTTGAATATCAAAGTAAACTTAACAAATTCCTTTCAATACTGTCTACTAAATCACTCTGGACAAGTGCAAGTACATCACACTACTGTATCATGAATCAAAGTCAAGTTTAAACTTTGAAATTTACCAAACGCTGTCAAACTACAAAAAGATTCTGTATCTAAAAGAGAAGCTGAAGTAAACAAAGTGTGCTGAAGTTACAAACAGCCATGTTTTATTCATTCATATGAAACAACTTTGAGAAAAATAAATACACATGCTCAAGTTTGATTGGACCAGGTTGACGCCAGGATAACACATTAAATTTGAAATCACTTTATTACTGTTCAAGTACCATCTGAAAGTACTTTACATTCAGACAAAACATAAATACATAATGCCATTTTTTGATTATTGTTATTTAGTATTAGTTATTTAGTTTTTGTTTTATGAAAAGCTTTATAGACTTAATATGTTTACTGTGACAAAATTTACTAATGATGAATTAGAAAAATTAACATCAGCTTTCTTTCTCAATTATGAATTTTCCTAACACTTTAAACAATCAAATTATTCAAATTTTTAATGTAATATTTGTTCTATGGTGTCACATACACATATTCTTATTATGAAAGGAAGTTGATAAATAATCTATGGTTACTTTTCAAGTATGTAATCTTGTATTAGAAGTTCATCTCAAAAGGACGCATACACAAAATAATTGTGTTTTGGGTGATTTTTTTTTTAAGTACCCCAAAGTCATGGTGATCCATTTATACTTACAATAACATGAATGCTTCTAAGCTTGATCAATACAATTTCCTGAAACATGGGAATGTTCAAAATGATGTGCAGAAGTTTTCACATGAGAACTTTTTCTACCACCCATGTATTATCATAGGACAAAGTACGATACCTTTTGTATCTTCACAAATAGATCTATTTGTGAAGATACAAAATTCACCG